GACACAAACGACTAGTACTACCACAACAACAATAACTACTACGACAACGACAACAACTACGACAACAACAACAACAACTTCTACGACAACAACCACAACTACTTCTAAAACTACGTCTACAACATCAACGTCAAGTAGGTTCATAGGCGAAGAATAGTTATTGCACGTAGGCGAAGTGAGCACAAGATTCAAGTAAATCCAGCCATGATTCCTCTAGGAACATCTTCCAAACGTTCCAATACTTGTTCCAAGTACAACTAGATGAGCTCTATCCAGTGGTATGATCGGATTTTATAAATCCCAAAATATAATTTTCAGATTTTTTTACACTACCATCTATGGTTTCGAAAATCGTAATTTGAGCTACAGAAAATCTGGTCATACCATTGAATAGAGCTCGTCAAATTGTACTTGGAACAGGCTATTGAAACGTTTGGAAGATGTCTCTAGATGAATCTTGCGCTAATTTCACCTACGTAGTTATTGCTCCTTCTGAAAGATTCTAGAGAGGCGATGGAAGAAGCAGAGATGTGTATGGCAGCGCGGTAGTGGCAGTTTATTTTTTCAAGAAGATTGTAAAACTGCATGAATTTGCATCTGATTTAGGTGTCTCTAAGTCCAACAATCAGAACCATAGTAAATCTGACGGATACAATCTAACCATGCAAATTAATTTCCTATACGTCAATGCCATTTGAAATGTTAGCATTGTAGAAGAGTAGTATCGAATGCATTGTTATTTGCCAACAAGTGTTTGAAACAGAATGAATAAAGAGTACATAGATGATCAGCCTCTCAGTATTTCATCCATAACAGTTCTCAAAAAAATGTGCCCTAAAATTCTTAACAGAACTCTTTAAAACTGATCTGTATAGAAAGTGTACGAGCAAAAATTAAACAAAGAAATAGACGAACTCTCTGAGTCATTTCGCTTGCTTACTCTTGAGAATATTCAAAAAAAAAATTTCAAAGCAATTGAATACAATTCAAGACGTTTTCTAGTATTTTGAAGTTTATTCTTTCTTATCGTCTAGTTTATAAATCATTAGAATTTAATCGAATGCAGAAAAATCCAACTTTTCACAATGCAATTAGGAAAAGCAACCAACATATGTTATTGTCGTTAGCTAAATTTAAGAAGAGAATGTCGGATAAACTTTTACTGCTGCATCTATAGTAGGAAGTTTTTCACGAGTTACGCATTTCAAATGTTCAATAGCTAAGTTTGTGAAAAGATATAATCAAAGAAAAATCGATCGGAGTCTCAAAGACTGATGTACCACCTCTTAAATCAGTAGCTAAAAAATGCTGAAGTCCTTTTCATTTGATAGCTCAAATCAATCAAAATTGATGGGCAAAATGACAGAAAACAATTCGATATAATTTTATAGAATATTTGACAGTACAGCTTTTCAAAAAAGAATAAGGTTCAAAGATTAAAACGAAACAGATTTATAGTTGAAATACTAAGAAATGTGTGAAAATTTGATTCAGTCAGTGCTTGTATTGATAAAGAAGCTTGTGAACATGTTACACAACAAATTTGAATCCTAATTTTGAAAATATCGTTCATTTACAGTTTCAACATGACCTACACGAATAGTCATTCAACACTCATGATGATAAATATCTGCTAATAGAAAAAAAAAACTCTTGAAGGATAATTTATATCAAATCTGATTGAGTTCAATAATAAAATAATATGTAGAACTGTTTTCTGTATTTTTCAGATAGTTCTTGCAATATATATATATATCTTTGAAAAATAGCTCTATTGATCTATGTATGCATATAAACACTTATACGAATTCACTAGAAGAAAAATGTGAGTGCAGTAAGCGCATCTTCGTCGTCCCATTTTTCATAAACTGACTTTTTATCGTTTCCAGTCATTTCATCATGTGTATTCTAACTAAAAAAAAATTGAAGGGGCAGACTTAAATCACATCATTCTTTTGAAAAATTTCCCTGAAATTTTAATAATTTGACTTTCTTGCGTTTGTTACCATCCATTTTTATTCCGGAGTAAATGGCAAATTTCTCTGCTCATCCATTGGTTTGCATTGAAAAACAGTGTCTTTTGCGTGAGGAAGAGTCGTAACATCTCTTCAACTCTCAAAATCTAAGTTTTTTTCAATCAAAATTCTTATCATTCAATCGACCACGTCGATCAGACAGCATTTTCAGTCTTTTGAGCACTCTGACAGAATTTTTCATATGATCGCGATCATAAAATCGAAATAAAACAAGTCTTATACTATATTTTCCGTCATCAATTTCGTCTACATTTTTTATTTGAACCATTTGATGAAATTTCACACATTGAGAAGCATATCGAAAACCAAAAATCTGTTTTTCAGTCTCATGAGACAGTATAACAATCATTTAGAGATGATAATTCCTTAACCTTGTGATGGATCATGATGAAAATAACAAACATCTTCATATTTTGATTTCGTTAGAATTACATTGAAAGCATTATTTAATATAAATCCTTTAAATTGTTTTTTTAGCAACTACAACGACAACTACAACTGTAACTACGACCACATCAACTACCAGCCAAACTACGACTACCCAGACAACTACTACTTCGACCACCACAACAACTACTCAGACAACAATAACTTGTGTGTGGCTTTTTTTTGTTTTTGTTTTATGAAACATTTAAAATGAAGAATTATTATTTCATTTTCAGTCTCTCCTGTTGGCATTTATGCATTGACAATTCCAACATGTGCAACATGGAATGACACTGGAATAACAATGGGTGGCAATAGTAATGGAAGCGTAGGGTCTGATTTACGATCTCTTAGTAGTCCAGTGAGTATTTTTATTGACAATAATGATAATCTGTTCGTTTGTGATCGAGATAATTATCGCATACTCAAATTTCCTCCTAATTCAAATACTGGAATTATTATCGCTGGCAATGGAACGGCTGGGAATGAATCTAACCAATTGAGAGGACCTAAAGGTGTTGCTATTGATCAATATGGTGATATTATTGTTGCTGATAGTGATAATTATAGAATTCAAAAATTTGTTAATGGTTCCACATCAGGCATTACATTAGCTTCCAATTCATCAATAAATCCTCTTGGTCAAATGCGAGATTTACATATTGATGTCAATAATAACATATATGTTACTGATTCAGATAACAATCAAATTGTTAAGTTTATTCCTTTTTCATCCATTGGTGTCGTTGTAGCAGGAGGTGGGCCTGCTGGTCCAGGACTCAATCAGTTGTCGGGTCCATTTGGAAATTTTGTAGACCCAAATGGAACATTGTATGTAGCTGATGATCAGAATTTTCGCGTAATGAAATATTTTCCCGGATCATTAAACGGAACTATAGTAGCTGGTAACGGAACAGCAGGCTCAAGTGCATATCAACTGTCTCGTTCTATATCGATAATCGTCGATAATAATGGGTATGTTAAGTTACAATTCATATTAAAATACATCTCTTTGCTTTTTAAAATGTACTCATGATTTATGATTTAGTAAAAAAATACTCAAAAAGTGTAATCTAACTTTTAAAAGCGACATACTTTATTAATAGGTATATCTATGTGGCTGATTATGGCAATGCAAGAATCATGCGTTGGACAACGAATTATGCGGCTGGTGGTGTCTGTGTTATTGGTTGTACGGGATCATCAGGTGTAGCTGCTACTCAATTACGCGGTCCAAGAGATCTGAAATTTGATAGATACGGTAATATTTACATAACTGATCAGGCAAATCATAGAATACAAAAATTTATGATCCAAGTACCTGCAGCAGGTTGTTCTAGTAAGTAATCAAAAATGAAATGACACATTTCTATCACGTTCTTAACTTCAAACTCACTTTCTCTCTTTTGCATCATTTAGGTGGTTAGACAAGAACGAATACAATCATTCATATTTCATATATCCATACTAAAAACAAAATTAACATAAACAGTTGCACATGTCTCGTGTGTATAGCAGAGAGTATTTTTGTTGCACAACACACATTTCATTTTTATTATCGTAATTACTACGTGAGATTATTTTGGAAATTCAAGCAACATGCAAAATAATTTTTTTTTTTGCTGTATTCATTAAACTTTTGTTTTTACATGACTAGAATGCTTTATCGGAAATGAAAAATAACAAAATATATTGATAGCCATGCGCCTGATACTCGCGAAATCTACTACTATTTTCACTATCTGAACACTTAAATAGTTACAATTAACATTAATGCAGAACTTCTTTAACTAAAAGTATATGTGTCTTTTGGGTGAAGTACGAAGGGTAATCACTTGTTTGAAAAAGAAAGAATATAGTGATGGAAAGATAATCAAAATCAATCAATATAATCAAAGACTTTTTTTTTATCATAGAGAATGATATTGATCTATTTGTGGCATATCTAGACGGAAGTACTTGAGTACTGCTTGGCATTACCGTCTCTTTCTGTTTTCATCCTTTTCGAGACAAAGTTTATAAATAATTATATATTTTTTCATATCACTAACTATATAGTTATTAAGCCTTTCTGTTTTTTCCAGTATTCTACAATATTGTACAGTAACTTCCTTCAAATTGTCGATTTCAACATAGGTTAATTACAACAACCAGGTGAGGATTTGGAGAACTATGTATGTAGAGAAGATCCACATCCATCCTGATTGTCTTAGACATTGCAAGTAAATATCAGCAAGTGATCAACATCTCTAAGATGTCATATATTTGCTTGAATTTTTTCGTCTAGAATTAAATGATTTAATATTGATTTCGTGCCTAAATATAATGTGATACAATTTTGCAATTAAAATCACTACACTGTCATTTCTATTTTAAAAAGAAAAGAATATTTGATACCTGGTACATGTTTTTTATTGAATAATTATTGGATTAAATTAATAAAGAAAATTATCATCAGTCAGCAGCGTGGCGCAGTAGAAGCGTGCTGGGCTCATAACCCAGAGATCGGTAGGTTGAAACTACTCGCTGCTATATACTTATTTTTTTCTTTTCATTCTGACTGTTGAAATTACGTAAGACAACAACAATAACATTTGTTTTTTCGCACTAAATAAACTTATCGTGATCGAAGTCCATTTTTATTAGTTTTAATACAAAAAAAGCGAATAATTGTTGTCTATTCTGTTCGAAAGTTGATGAAAATCGGATGCGAGACAGTGAACTTCTTCTCAAACATTCTATTGGAACAGAAAAATGTCGTGTATTTTGTATCGTGAACAAGATTTTCAATTTGTTATTCAGTATCTCAACAAAATTACTTCATAACTTTATCTCATTCGTCGTAATTCACTCTAGTTAAATATAGGAAGAAAGAAAATGATATGATGATTTACTTTTTGTAGTGCGAATGAAGAGAAAATCCACACCCACCCTTCTTTCAATAACTAAACCAATTATATTTGTATGGTTACAAAAAGAAACAATATATATTAACTGATTCACATGCTATTATAGTAAGAGATCGAGTGTCTATGTTCAAAGAATAGAATTAGAGCGGAATATATGAAGATACAATGTTTCTCACCATATTATTTTGTAATGCATCAATGAGTCGCTGTTGTCCTTCTTCTGTAATTTGATTGTTTGATACGTTCAGACGAATAAGTGTCTATTACAAAAAGCGAAAAATGAATAAGATCTGATATATATATATATGTTACCTGGTTAACTTGTAAGGCATCGGCCAAATATTGCACTCCTTCTTGTTTGATTTGATTCCATTCAAGTTCTAGACGAGTGAGTGTCTATAATAATTAACAAATAAGTAGCGAATTGACTTAAGAGATAATTTCCCGTACCCTATTACTTCGTAAAGCCTCAGCTAGGTTCTGTGCTCCATCATGCGTAATTTCATTCTTTCCAAGATCTAACTGAGTGAGTGTCTATGCCAAATAATAAATAAGTAATCAATTAGATTAAAAAGGCAATATCTTATACTTTGTTAACGAATAACATCTCAGCTAAATATTGTGCACCTTTATTTCCTACTTGATTGCCCCAAAGACTGAGTTGAGTTAAGCTCTATTACGTATGATTAATAGAATATGAAACAAAGAACACAATAATCTTACTGTATTATTGTATAATGCACAAGTTAGATGTTTTGTACCTTGTTCTGTAATTTCGCTTCGCTCGAGACCTAGTTTAGTAATTGTCTATATTCAAAAGAAACGCAAGAAAATAACGAGATAAACACACATCACCTTTTTTACCCGATTATTTGTCAATGCATTAGCCAGATGTTGAACTCCTTCATCCATCATCGGATTGCACCAAAGATTAAGTTCAATGAGATTCTAAGTCAAATAATAAACATCGAACTATAAGAAACATACAAAAATAATATCTCTCACCATATTATTATGTAATGCATCAGCTAACTGCTGTATACCATTCTCTGTAATTTGATTACCACTAAGATCTAATCGAGTAATGGTCTAAATTAAATAATTCGTGGGAATATGAAGTAGATGTACTAGAATTATTTTTGATACTTTGTTGGTTCGTAATATAGTTGCTATATGTTGTACTCCTTTATTTGCAATTTTATTTGATCCAAGATTTAATTGTATTAATGTCTGTTAGAAATATTTTCCTATCAATCTGAGATATTTCCTAATAACGTATATATATTTACTTTGTTAACTCTTAAAGCGTCAGCCAAACGTTGAGCACCCTTCTCTGAAATTCTATTCGATTCAAGATCTAGTTGAATTAGTTTCTATATAAAATAATTCGAGAGAAAAAAATCTGAAGACAATGAACAAAGAATGAAATATTTCTAACCCGATTAATTAATAATGCTTCACTCAAATATTGTATTCCATTATCTGTAATTTCATTTCCTCCAAGACCTAGTCGAGTAAGTCTTTGTATCTAATGATTTAAAAGTGAATAAGATCTATAAAATATAATTTTGCTTACTCTCTTAGTTGTTAATGTATCAGTGAGATGTTGTATTCCAATATCTGTAATTCTATTGTATGCAAGATCGAGTTGTGTTAAGGTCTTTCGTCAAAGATCAAAGAACAAAAATGAAGATGAGAATATAATATCTCTCACTGTATTATTTCTTAATCCATCAGCAATTTGTTTTAATCCTTTGTCAGCGATTTGATTACTATTAAGATCGAGACGAATGAGTGTCTGAGTTGAGAAACGAAGCGTTAGTATGAAATAAATAATCAATCATTTTCTCATACTCTATTATTTCGTAAAGCATCAGCTAAATATAGTCCTCCTTTCTCTATTATTTTATTCGAACCAAGATCTAATTGCATGAGAGTCTAGATTAGAAGAAGAAACAATTCATCTCTATAAATCATATAACAATATCGTCTATCTTGCCTTGTTGCTTCGCAATGCATCAGCCAAATATTGTACTCCTTTTTCTGTTATTTTATTCGATGTAAGATCTAATTGAATGAGTGCCTATTGTTGAAACTAATGTTCTACAATTGAAACAAAAGATAAATTTTCCTACTCGATTAGTTTTTAAGGCATCGGCTAAATATTTTAATCCTTCGTCTCCTATTTCATTCTGTTTGAAATTTAATTCAGTTAGTGTCTGCATCAGATAAACAATATTAATATATTGTTAAAAGTAATAAATAGTCTTACTCGATTTATTCTTAATGCATCAGCAAGATGTTTCATTCCTCTCTCGGTAATTTCATTCGCTCCAAGATGAAGTTTAGTAAGTTTCTACGAATCAAATAATCACATTTTTTTTGTTAAACAAAAAAACAGATAATATCTTATACTCGTTTAGCTCTAAATACATCAGCCAGATAATATGCTCCTTTGTCGGTAATGCCATTCTGTTCGAGATTCAATTGAGTTAGTGTCTATATTAAATAATAAAGAGCTATATGATAATTAACAAGACAATATTTTACTGTATTTTGTTGTAATGCATCAGCTAGATATTGCACTCCATTATCTTTTATTTGACACGATCCTAAATTTAGTTGTGTAAGTACCTATAGCATATGAATAAATTCAAATGTAGGATTAATCAAAAAGTGTTAATCATTTCTACTGTATTTTCGAATAATGCATCGGCAAGATATTTTGTACCTTCATGTAAAATTTGATTCTCTGAAAGATTCAATTGAATTAGAATCTAGTTAATGTCAACAATTAGCGTCAATATATGTCAAATAAATAGATTTGTTCGTCTTACTGTGTTAGTTCGTAATGCATTAGCAATGGCCCAACATCCATACCATGTCAGATTGTTTCCTGATAGATTTAATTGTGTACAATGAGTTTTGATGATTTTGTCTTTTACAATCTTTTCAATATCTGCATCGGACAGTTTTCTACCAGCAAAATTGATTGACCGTGGTCGATATTCTGAATGTTCTAAGTCTTGTATCAAATCTGCTCCTGAAACGAGATCGATAACAAAACGAAGATTTAGTTTAAAGATTCATATCTATTGCATCCAACTTATATCACAAAATCGATGTGTCAATGTACCCTATTGTTCATTTTGAATTCTAAGATTTCTGAACATTTTATTGGAATAATATTCGATAAAATAAACTAACCACCTGTGGTTTATACAGAATAATATTTTAGATTATCTTTTTCAGTAGTCAAAAAGTATTTTTCATGCCATCTTTGAAAATGAAGCCCTCATTAAAAAAAATGTTTTTAGACATTTAAAAGAAACAAAGTGTTGAATAAAGTCATGTTTAGATTTCTTTTGAAATCTCATCTACTGACTCGGGTTTTTTTTTGTTCTCTAGCTAAGAATATTTTTACTAGATTAAAAGATCAGTTATCCTATATAACAACGCTTATTGTTCATTTCTCAAATAGAGTAAAGCTATGTCTTCTGTCTAATGATGACTTAAGAATAAATCGATAGATAATTTATCTTCAGTTTATAAAGTTTAGTGCTTTGCATTAACTCTGATCAAAAGAGAATATTCGGATATTCTTACCATTCGTCTGATTAGATTCCTTGCCGAAAGGAGATACAACAAATTGATATGGTGAATTTGTCTCACGTAAATGAATCATATACAAGTTTTCACTTGGGCTCCATTTAGCTACAACACGAAGATAGGTACCGGGCATAAGAACAATTTCATTTTCATTTTTGAAAAATGAATGTGCTCCAATTGCTTTGCCTGAAATACATTCTATAGTAAACAAGGTACGTACACCTGAACGACCAACAAATCGTTCCATAACTTGCATTGTTTCTGTGCATGAACTCACACCCCACCATACTTGATCGATGTTATATTGATCGTAAACATCATCTCGAATACCACGCCAGATAACGCCTTTTACAGATGGTAATTTGTATAAAGCGGTGAGAAATAGTTTTAGATAGGAAAACCAGGGTTTGAGTGCCTTTCTTTCTGCAGAACGAAGTGTTCGATTAAGAAGTGTATATAAACTATCATGAGGTTCTTCCCATTCAATTGTATAAAGATTAATAGAAGCCGATTGATCACAAGTAAGACTATCTGCTGGCTTTTGTGAATTTCGTTTTGCAATATAGACTTTTGTATCAAGATCATAGAGTAAGGCTGTGATTGGTCGAACAGCTTCTTCGAGTGATACCAACTCTTCTTTCTCGTACCCGGAGATAGGAAGTAGCATTTGACTCGGTTCTTCATTTGCGTCCAGAAAACGACTTCTTTTGCTTCCTTCGGAAACGCTTGCCATAAGTACAGTATGAAATAATGCACGTCTTGACTACCGATATTGTTGCTACAAAAATGACATTTAAATGAATCGACAGAACACAAGCGAATTTCATAAGAAAAAAAAATGTAATGGAATTACGATTTTTCAAGTGAATGGTTGTTTGTTTCACGATGCCATGCTGACAAATGTGTAGATCTTTGTTTCATTTGATCGAATGATGAATTTTTCAACATAAGCAATCGGTATAGGTATATAAAAGAAAAACCTAACCAAAATGATAATGAAGTCAATCATGTAACATGTAGAAGCTCAACACTGTGAACATGTTAAGAGACCATGTAAGGTACATTTCAACATAGTCCCTCATGATGAACAAAGACACTATCACCGTCACTACGGAGTCACATTATAAGGATTGAAGCTTGACAAAAACATTGTCCATTAGGGGTACAGGTGGATGAGTAAAGAGAAGCCTCATACTCACATCCAGCATCTGTGATAATCTGTTGGATATTTGATGTGAAAAAGTTGTGGAGTGTAATTTAGATATAATGGACGGACAAGTCCATAAGAATTTGGAAAATATAATTTCATCATTTGAAGAGATTTCCCAGTGAAGTGAATAAGAAATAATTACACTATTTTCAATTCAACCAAATACCATTCTTTCATATTATAAATGTATCATACAAAGTTGAAATTTAGGTAATAAGAAAATCGATTAAAATCAAATCTTTTTCATGGATACCTTTGAATCAATTTAGTGGATTTTAATCATACATATTGAAGATAGACGTTTTTCTTCAGATTCAAACGTGAAACTCCATTTGTTTTTTATGATATTTTTAGATTGTTCGTGTTTATTAACCATGAAGTTACCACTAGAACTTTTATACTAGTCAACAGTCGAGATAGATGAAAGCATTCATGCTCAAACCAAAGTTGATTGATTGAATTGCAACTGATGTTATTAAAAAATTAGGCATGACGAAGAGCTTCCTCATCAGAAAATTGTTCTCACTGGAAAACTTCTGCGTAATTTACTGCTGATTACAATGAAATTCAAGATAAATATAGGAAACGATCATTGTTCTTCTTCGATTTACATCAATCTTTAATTTTAAACGTCCTTTCAGCTGATTTCTTTGTTTAAACATGGTAATGAGCAAAAGATAAAAAGACTTATTTTAATTTTTCTGCTGGACATCTGAAGTTGAAGGTGAATTTTCTCTTTAACCACACCTTTCGACACCCATACAATCATTAAGTATATTCAAGTGAATTCGTCTACACATTATGGATTGATTGAGTTTATATTGGAAGAATTCCATTGTTCTCCACATTATTGACAAGTGATACTCAATTGACTTGGAGCTCATTTAAGTAATTAATCAAAGGCTTTATGTTGTATTAGTAAATAAACATGAACTGATGGTATGTAACAGAGTTCGAAGCATCGAACTTGGTCACTTTTTCTACGTGGAAGAACTAAACTCACAATCTCAAGTCACAAAATGAAGTTATTTCAACAAAATTTCTCTATGACTGATCATACAAATGTTATAATGCTCAGAATTAGCTATTCGACTGATTCATTTATTGAATTCAAATCATAAATATCAAGCACCTGTTCTTCACCAATCTCCCACGGTTTAGATTTTTCCATCGGCCATCGAAGTACAAGTAAATCGACTGCTGATCCAAATTCTTCAGGTGAATTTTCATCAGGTATTGGTCTGAGTACAAACTGTTCTGAAACATTTGAATTCAAAAATACATTCTCCGAAAGTCGAGTAGCCATTCGACAATCTTCGTATGTCAAAATTGAATATTGACGTATTAGTTGTTCAAAAAATGGATAGAGTACTGATGACGATTTTGATGAGTTAGATATTGTCGCTTCCCTAACAACAGTTTCTATTTGTGCTTCTTGTTCAGATTCGAGTGTTAGTGCTCTTAAACCTTGACGAAGTTCCTCATCGAATGATAATTTAGCTATCAGTTGTGGAACAGTTTTCATCTTATCTATACTTGCTCGCTTCTGTTTCTCGTATACTGCAACAGCTTTCGACACAGCAATACCCGATAGGCCACCGATAACTTTTCCAGTTACAGTACCGATTACACCACCGATAACTGAGCCGAGAATGGGTACAGGAATAAGAATAGTTCCAACAATAGTGCCTGCGGTTCCTCCGATGACCTTAACAAGTATAAATATTTTTTGCGAATTTTTTTTTTCTACAATAAAAATGATCACCTACAGTAGTCGATGCTGATGTGAGTCGAAGTACGACATATTTTTTGAAAGCCATCTCACTCAAGCCACCTTGTCGTTGTTTATTTTGTTTTCGTTTAATATCGATGAATGCTGAAATACATTCAACACTCGTAAGAACTAAACCTGATCCAATGGCACTAAGAAATGTTCCAAGACTTTGAGTACCGACAACAGCTATATCTTTAACAAGTAGTGCAGTAGGATCAACAATTAAAAGTGTAGCCGCTTTTTCTTTAACAAAATCACGACATTTGATAACTTGTTTAGAATAGGAATCACCTGTTCGACACCATCGTGCCCAATGTTCACAATTATTACTGAATAATGAATAGCCACGTTTTCCAAGATCGGAAATAGCTCGTTCAAGAGTGTCTTCGTTTGAAAAACATTTTATATTATCATAATGATGTAAATAAATTTCTTCACTATCACTATTCATTGTTAATTTCCATTCACTTTCAATAACTTCAGCAAGATATAATGAACCTTTAATCAATGAATGCCAAACATTTGTTGCTGTATTAAAATAATGTATTATACGAAGATAATTGACACTAGCTTCACGTACGATGCCGTGATGTGAATAGTAAAAATCACTTCTATAAAAACTGATGTGATCGCCTGGTTTGAGTTTAGTAATATCTGTTATTTTTTCTTTGCGCGTACTTTGCAAACGCTTCTCATGATGTGTAAAAGATTTTGTAGCCTCTAGATAAAAATAGATATTTCATCAAAGATAAGAATTCATACGAGTAAAAAAATTACCAATTGATTCTTTCTTTAGTTGAGATATGAAATGATATGCATCCGTCATAACTTCACTCGTCTATAGCAACCGTCAGCGAAAGAGCTGTACTTTCTTCTATGTCTCAATGTTCGTGTGCGTCACTTCAAGTTTATGATTAATAAATGTGTAAGAAAACGAATATACGCATGTAGAACTGTTTTTTTTCAATACTGGTGTAATTAATCATCGGATAGAAAAGACAGAGAAGAAAAAGCTTTTCAATCATTTTGTAGTGATACATCAATAGTGATTTTTTTCTTCCTATGCTTTCCAGCCATTATAGTCAAACGAGAGAATAAGAAGCGTTTGATGATTAACGTTCCTTTTTTTAGATTTGCTCTTGAATAGAAAAGCTGGTGCAATAACAATAGTTTAGATATTGGTTTTTTTTTACAATGATAAAAGTAACAAATTTTGCTTGCTTAGAATTTTATTATATTCTCAGTATTTGTGAATTATATTTTAATCTCTAAACTCTTCCTCGAATCGTCTAGATTTATATGGTTCTATAAAATCTCTCAAGCATTCCAGAAGACGTTCCCAACCTTTCAAAATAGGCGGTTCTTTCCATACAGAAATTCCTACAAGAGTTGTCAAGAGAATTGAATTCGGGTAGATCGAACTTAATATCAAGTCAGCAGTATCACTTAACAAAAAAAGGAAAATGCAGGCTTTATAAAAATGACCGACATAATTATATATTAAGGGTATGACTGTGTGTGAGATAAGAATGTAGCTGTAATGTGGATATGGATGAAGAATACCTCTGACCCATCCACACCTACAACCTTATATGGAAGAGTATGACAACTTTCAATTGCGACATGCTAAAAAATAATGTTTGACAGAAGTTTTTATTGAGCTTAAATGTTTTTATAAGGCGTTTTGATCAATGAATCGAGACAAATGAGAGAAATTGTCTTAGAATTATCTCGTTGTATAGATATTCGAGAATTATCAAGAAAGTACGTCATCATCATCGTTCATAACTTTTTTCTTTACTTTTGTTTGCTTTTACTCACGTCATATCCCTAGTCCACGTATTAACATTTCAGCGCTGGTTCTCCTATAAATATACAGGAATATCGTACTAAGTGCTAAAATTTTTTCCGTGAGCGTATCAGTACTGGCTGTGTACGTGAGTGAGAATTTGTCAACATTGAATCTACACATATCCACCCACATACACCAGTCTACTATGTCTAGTGCTTGATTATTCGGAATCATCCAGACAGATCTGCAAAGATCAAAACTATCTAATAATCTTCTTAGCATAGATGAAATCGTAATAATGCCATGTTCGATTTCACTAGTCTTCAACCTTAATTTTCAAATTAAAGTTATCAATTCTAAACTTATCCTTACATTCTCTCTCTCCTTTTCAGCAGTTATATGTCGTCTTCATATCAGAAGAAACCTGCACATAGTAGTGTTATATCGATGTAACATTGCTGTTTTTCTTTGAGAAATTAATAGACCTTCGACTAGTGTTCTAGTTCCTTGTTCAAGTTTCAAAATTCATTTTATTTTCTTGAAACATCAATCTTATAATTAAAAATGGTAATGCTGACTACCAGTCTATGAACTAAAATCAATCAATTATATATTGTTCGATACAGTGAGAAAGTCTCTTATAAATTACATGAGCTCGGACTACCTGGCTGCAAGCATTCCTGAGTTGTTCAAAAAATGGTTACACTACTTTTCTTCAACGAATATTAGTAAATTCATACGTCTTTATTTTTGAGATAAGTGTATAATTCTTTTTCAAGATATTTTCTGTTTATATGATTTCTATTCAAAAATCTCGATTAGTATGTGTTCATTTTTGATTATTATTATTTCTGTTCTTAGAATTCGAAAATATTCCAAGCAGTCAATAGATCGTGGCGTTCAAGACATCCGTTATTTTAGTAACATTGACTGCAGTAATACCGATTGGAGTAGAATTGGTCATCATTTTACTGACTATGGTCGTCGATTTGTAATCACTGGTTATGTGTTCAAAGGGCCATTTCATGACAGTCCATATTAGAAGAAGAAGTTTCCAGATGAGCCACACAACCAATACGATAAAATGAATTATTATGATAAGAAAGAGTGTGCCAGAAAATAGATAATTCACAATGTAACATATTTTCACAACCAACGATCTCTTACGCCAGTCTTTGCCATCATCGTTAACTGAATGAAAAATCAATATGCGTCCAACTACAT